GTGGGGGATACAAAATATTTCTCAATCATTTCAGCTAAGAACATACCTGTTGAAAAACAAGATAAATTAGTAAAGAATATTATTACATTTAAAAATCACTGCTAAAGATTTATCCTACAAACATTGTGCAATTTTAAGAAGAACAGGTTATTTGAACGGATTTTAGAAACTAGCCATTCAGTTGTCTTTACAAAACCTTTACAGTTTGGTATGCTTTGAAAACCCATAAATCCAATAGAAAATCTGCAGTAATTTGCAGGATAACGAAAAACTGCAGCAATTACCTCTTTCTAAGTATTAATTGTATGACTACATATGCAAACAGACACACAAATACACAAAATCAATCTTTTTCGGACAAACTGATAACTAGTATATGTAGACTAGCAAATGATGAGACCAGAAGAATAGCTTTCTGTTTAACTGTAAGAAAAATAAACTCAGTTAATCTGAAGATCGTATTTATAGTAGTATCAAAATGCCATGTAATCAAGTTATGGTATTCAAAGAAAATACGTATGTTTGAAGAGAACTGCAACTTCTTCATCACACATAAAATAATGTGACCACAAGTTTAGTATTAATGACACAGCAATTCCAAACATAAACTGATAATAAAAAGGCTTCTTAGAACTCACTGAAGAGTAGAATTGAGAATTACATTCTGTGCCTCAAGACAGAAAAATAACTACATCCTGTTTCCATACAAAAATGGCAACATCTATTTGCATATTAAGGAGTTCTGAGAAGATAAAATGACAAAATTTTTACTCAAGTTTTTTCAGGTTTTCTGCTCTAGATAAAGATTAGTGGAGCCATGTATTTATTACTACATCTGCTTCAGCTCTGCTTCTCCAGTTGCTCACTCTAGCTCAGGCATAAAACCTCTCAGGATCAAACAAAACCCTGAAGTAAGCGGAGGGTTTTACCCTGCTGTTTGGGGTGCTTGCATGCTAGCCTAACAACAGTCCCACACAGATTTTGCTCTTGGATTTTGGATTGCTGGATTCTTTTCCTGCAACTGCCACTGTTAGTTTCTATCAAAATTGCCTTTCATGTATGGGTTTGTTTCTATGTGAGGAATTTCTATTGAATTTGGAATAAAGATCTAATTTCAACTCATAGAAAAGTGAGAGTGTATGAAAGCTACTGCAAAAAAAATTTCTTACCATACTGTTCAGCTATTTTATAGGTAATATGAAATCAGAAGAAAGAAAAATTGTGGTCAGACTTTCTAGTAACAATGTTGAATCAAAATATAAATAGACTGTACATGCCAAAAATGTTTCAGTTTCCACAGAATTAGCCATTTCCTAAAAAAGAATTGTTCTTACCTACTATGGAGAGAATGACAACCACAAAATCAAAAATATTCCAGCCTATAGTAAAGTAGTAATGGCGAAGTGAAATCAATTTCAGGACACATTCTCCAGTGAAAAGTACAATAAACACCAGGTTAATCCAATATAAAATGTTTTCCATGTCTTCACTCTGGTCATCTGTTTCTACCATCATTGTGACCATGTTAAGGCAGATAAGTATCATGATACTGATATCAAATGCTTGTTTTGTTACAAAATCAAAGACCATGCCTTGGAATTTGTTCTGGAGGGGGGAAAAATAAGATTAATTACGATATGCATTGGGTAAAATTTCTCTTTTGAAATTGCTACAGATTATTTAAATCTAGTATGAAGGGGATTTCATGTCTTCTACGAAGTACTCCATCTGTATGAATTTTCCAGTTTGTACATGTGAACACAAATTAAATAGAAATGCAACTACTGTGTTTATAAGCAGTAAAGGGATGATTTCAAAATATGCATGGTACATTTTTTTAAAGTTGCAAAGGAGACTTTGCCACCCTGAACCAGTTCACTGTAACCTTTTGTGACACAGACTATTAACTGCATGCCCCAGCTTGGTAAAATTTGAAAACAACTAAGTGGGGGGAGGATGTAAGCAGACTGAGAGTTAATAGCACTTCATTTGCCAGAAAACTTGTAAAGTTTTCAAGCCCTGATTTCAATGCTCTTCATGCCACCAGAATAACCTTTTAAACAAAACAGTATCTTCCATTTTTCAGCTATAGAGAATTTACTGATGGCTGGACAGGCCACTGAGCAGGTTCCACAATCCAAAGTAGAACTGGAATCACTCTCTACCCCAGCCAAACCCTGCTCTGTAGTGCTAGGGTAGCCCGGCTCAGGAGAGCAAACCCTTCTATGGATTATGCAACAGGAATGTGAAGGGCAAAAGGAGTTTTTTTCAGGCAATGATATGGTAACTTGAACCCATACAGCAGTTTCAGAGTCTTCCTCAATGACTGAAAAAGCCTGTGCCCTAAGGCTTTTGACAAATACACTGCCACATTTAATTGATCTAGTCAAATCAGTGTTTTGAAAAAATGTCACATAAAATGTCACTGCCATTAGCAGAGATAAAATGAGTGGGAAAAAAGGAAAGGGAAGAGTTCTCCATATTCTGAGTATAAAACAGAAAAAAAATTGGATTTCAGATGAATAAGGCTTTTCTTATATTACTTAGAGTTTTAGCTTACAACTTAATTCAGCCTAAGGCATAATTGAAATACTCCCATTTGTAAAGAAATATAAAAATAACAAAATATTTTTATTCTTACTGCTGGTCGAGGTATAGGCTTTTGTGGTTTCTTTGAACCCAATTTTTTCATTGCATTGTAGTATTTCTTCTGTTCTTCTGTCATAAAAATGTCTTGACCTCCAAAGTAAACCAAAGAGACAAAACCTGGTTACAATCACATATCTATATTGATTACTTATAAACAAAGATACTGAATAGTAATAATCACTCTTGTTCACATTCTCATCTGTGGGAAAAGTTAGGATAGACATAAAAATCCCCTTTTATCATGATTATTAGTGCTTTGCTAACAGAAGAATTCCTTTACATATTCCACTCAATCTTTAGGATGTTTTTTCGAGAGGCTCTTGAACTTGCATTGTTTGTGGTAGACCTCTGCTTTTCATTGGGGAGAGGGGAGGTACAGAGGAAGGAGAGGTGCTTTTTCTTTGTCCTACTAAATTCTATCACTTATTAGAGAGGCACGAACTAATAAAATATTTCAATCCCCTTCTCTTGTTTTTCCTCTAGAGTAAATTTTGACAAACTTTCAGAACTGGCATCTAAGATACCAAAGGAGAATTAGAAGGTATCCAGATGGTCGTATTTCACAACCTCTTCTCCCTCCACCGGGGCAGGACTTGAAGCATGAGATCCTGGAACCACTATGTAGACCGAGTAGAAAAAGAAGCCAATTTCTCTCCATCTCAACCCATTTCAGCACATGGATCCGACAGCACTTCCACCACTCCAATTATACTTTGTGTAGCCAGATACTTTAGTTAAGTTCTGCAGCTGAAACACTGATACCTTTTGAGGCAGTGCTGACAAAATACAAAGACTAGAGAGTACAAATAAAGATAATACAATGTTTATTATTAGAGTTCAGAAATCTACACTGCTGAGCTCTGAGACATGAAGATAGTACAGCTAAGAGTTTTTATAGCTACATTTAGCAATTTCAATGGTTAGCCTTTTCTTGAGTCTATTAAAAACTCCAGCCCCAAATTCACATCTTTACAAAGGTGACACTGAGTATTTCACTAATCGTGGACAGACATTATGTTGTCACTCGTCCATCAAACTCTCAACAAGCTAAATGGTAAGCTTTAATAACTTAATGTATTTAATATGCAGAGCACATATTAACTCATCATAAAAGGAAAAATAATATTTTATGAAGAAAGTTGTTGTGTGTGGACCAAAAGTAAGCATTTTTTTAGCTTTCTTTTCAGAGTAATGATGAAGTACTTATCTTCTTTTTCTGCTGGTTGAAATTGTCTATGATGACACCAATGAAAAGGTTCAAGGTAAAGAATGATCCAAAGATGATAAAGATGACAAAGTAAAGATACATATACAGGTTATCTTCATACTTAGGCTGATCCAAAACCTGCAAAAAAGGCATAGAAACTAAGACTTAGTTTAACTGTGAACACAGAATGAAATATCTGCTGGATAGAATTTAGGACTCTCTCACTCTGATCTTTGCTTCTTACGGTCAAGTTCCCACATATCCATCCCACTGATCTTCAACCTATGAAGTTACATTCTTGACAAAGAACTTTGCTACCAAACTTGATATTTCATTTTAAAAAAATGTAACTGGCCTATGAGTGTAGAATAAATACTGAAGACACAATTGGTTTAAACTAGTATAGTACCATCTGTCTGAGTCTACAGACAACCAGAAACATCAGCTTGTAAAGCTGCAAAATTTTCTGTGTATCTCGTGGGAGGCCTCTGATGTGGGCTTTTGGAGCTTTCACTCCTACAGGCACTTAGGAAACTGCCCTGGATTATGGGAGAGAGGCATCCAAGCAATGTTTAGAGTAAGCATATGTTCTTGTTACAGCTATGCACATTTACTATACTACAACAGGCCTCCCACTGTGAGTGTAGCTTACCAAAAAAGCTGGAGCTTTACCTGTACAGTTTATTCAGTTGTCTACTTAGAACTAGAGGACAACTTCCACCAAGGGAGCAAGGGGAAGGCAAAAGGGTAAGCAAATGCACAGGCCGAGTTAAGAATAGGAACTGTGCCCTGAAGAAAGGAGTCAGGTGGCTTGCAGAGCACAGTGAAATTCTCAACTTTAAAAAAAGATGACTGTTACAAAAAATCATCTCTAAGCTGTGTATTGGTGCCTGTTTCCAAATGTAAATAATGCTTCAATGCACATAATGGGAGGAGGAAAAGGTATTTTATGGCAATAGTTAAGTCTGCTGTGGAATTGAGGAATTTTGGTCCAACTGCACCATAGAGAACATAGAATCCTTTAGGACTGCTCCTCTGCTTTCTTTGTCTCCTGTATTTTTCCTATGGTTTCCATTTTCTTTAACTACAAAACTATAATAACTCCTTGTTCTCTCATTTTTACCGTTACTTCTGAAAAATGTTAAAATTACATTCTTAAATCTTGGAGCTCATACAATCAAAACAAATGGAGTCAAGGGACTATACTTACATTACGAGAATCCACAGCTGCATACATGATATCCATCCATCCTTTAAATGTAGCCTATAAACAGAACACTGGTGTTTACCTCATGCTTTTCCTGGAAAATGGCTTGTCAGAAACATTGTTTAAGAGCTGAAGACTAAGTGTCTTTAGCGCTTATCATAAACACCAGCACAGTGCAATGTTAATAGATTACTCTTGCCTTCTATTGCATGTTTTATTCATATACGAGAATTGCAAGCGAATTCTAATATCTGACTAGAGAGGATACAGCATCTATTAACAACTTTTATCAATTATGAGTAATATCTGATAGAAAAGTTATTTTCTGTGTATTAGCAAAGTAGGTATAGTTGATATAGATTCAATGCAGCTAAGGTGAATTAGGTTTGAATTACGTATTTTTTCTCATAGTTAGCATAGCCTGTAGGCTTTATATTCTTTCTATAGAGTCATGGATTTATCCCATACTTTATAATTCCAAACCAAGAACTGAGACAAGATTTCTAAATGAAAGAAAGAATACAAAATTACTTTTTACTGTTACAAGTAAACAACAGAGATGTAGAAAGAGAAATAGAAATTAAGGTGTGGTGACTTACCACTTGAAGCAGAGAAAGATAACCAAGGCCTACATTATCAAAGTTAACCTTCACATTCTTCCATCGGGCGGTTTCATTGTTTTTTATAAGCTCCTCACATTGACTATAGTTGTTGATTTGGCTGATATCAAATCTCTCATCAGTTGTAGTGTTAACACAGTAGTAAAATTTTCCAGCAAATAGATTTACTCCCATGATACTGAAGATCAGCCAGAATATAAGGCAAACAAGAAGCACGTTCATAATGGATGGAATTGCTCCTAACAGGGCATTCACAACCACCTAGAGTACAAATGAAACCAGAGAGACAGTGTAAGAACACAGCCACCAGTATCTTACAAATGCTTCATCAGCCTTTCTTAAATGTAACACTCTATTTTAATTCTAGTATCTGTGTTACACTTTTTTAATTGTTGAGAATAAGAAGTAAGAAAAGCAGTATAGAGGAAAGATAAAATGTCGACATAATTAGAAGGAAGTACAAACAGTAGAAAATGGTAGCTTTAAAGAATGGGAAAAAGAACAACAAACAGATAAAATTAACTAAAAAAACCCCCAACAGATAAAATCAGCGTTTATTAATTCTTTTTAGAATATCTACTTAATTTATGTCTGCAAAACCATATCCATAGTATTTCTAATACAACAAACTTTTTTCTATTGCATGTTTGCTGCATAAAGAGTGCGAATCAATATTACTGAGCAAATTTTTAATTGAAAGTAATTTGAAGACTTCTTTTAAATAAAAGAAAACTCAAGGATGTATGCATGTTCATTTGGATGGTTATATATAAAATCAGAAAAGCAGACATGTTTAAACCAGAAAACCAGCTGAGTATCTGAACACAGAAAAGCTGGTAGTGTTCAGGCAAGTGGCAGATAAAACTTGAAGACAGAAGAGACTTGATTTAATTCCCAAATGAATTTTGGGGAAGATCAGGCTTCAGGAAAGAAAAATATGAAAATGAGTTCATGTATGATGATGAATGAAGATTAAAACCATGCCAGAATAAAAATAAAATAGTAAAGAAAATAAAACTAGGGAGAAAGTAGGTCCATTATGAATGAGAATGATTTATTTAACGATGGAATTGATGAACTGCTAAATTAGTTAACTCCTACTTTAAATCTGTTTGTAAGTAAGTCTAACAATATAAAATTTATAACTATGGAGCATTGCTGCCAATTTTGCCAAAACAACTGAATCAGGTCCTTAGAACCTAATGAAGATTTTGTTTTAAAAATGCAGGACATTAGGTATTACATAGATGAGATAATTTATAATTCTTTCAGTTTATATGATGTAGGTACTACAGCACACTAGCACACTATGCTATTTGTTTCTATTTGAAATACAAATATGTAGCTTAAGCCTGTAATTTATATTTATATATTTATATCTACAATTAATAGGTTTCATTGAATCGATTACTTGTAAAATTAGTCATCTACGTAGATGACCTTTCATTCCTTGCCATTTTACAGAATACAAAATAAATCCTTTGAATGTCAGAGTAGGTGATGAACCACCACCATATATATCACACAGTAGACTTGGGCTGAAGGAAAGGAGAAATACTTGTTTACTTTGGACAATATTTGAGATCCCATAGGACTTCAATGAAATTGTTATTATGTTAAATTTAGGAGCTAGACCAAATGAGGTTCCTTTCAATGTAAATTACTCTATGACTCTATAAAAGCACAGAATGGTGGGTGAAGTCCAAAGCTTCCATACTTTTTTTTTTTGCCACGTATGTTAAATCACACGTGGTAATAAGTGTTTATTTCTAATGGGGAAATTTAAAAAAAAAAAAATCAAAATAATTTCTTACTCATGCTAAAAATCTCCTTAGCAACATCTATTATAAATCAATAAGCAAAAATAATACAGTATTTTATCACCCATCAGCCAGGCAGAGAGGATTCCCTGACTAATGGATAAATCTTCTGTTTCAACAGTGCTGTCTTATGTTGACAGACTTGTACTCTCAGTTTTCTCAATGACATGACTGCAGAAGGCCATAAGGAGTAGTTTGACCTAAACAAATGAAGTTTAATAATAATGCTGAATTAGTTTAAATTGGAAATCTGTGAATTCACCGATTTTTAGTGGGAAGTCTGACTGGAATAATAAATAGTGACATCATTTTTCCCAATTGGGGAATATTTTCCAAATATATGTTAGTTGTTATTTTTACATTATTTTTATTCAAAGTTATGTCAATTCTTCTGCTAAAAATATAAGTAGATTTCTTAAGTGTAATATTATCATCCATCAGGAATAATTATTGAGATATAAAGGCATAGTTAATGAAGTAAAAATATTTGTCCTCGAGCTTTCAGTCTCATTACACCCGAGAATTTTGTTCCTCTTTCTGCTACAGCTGCAGGTCCAGTCATGTTCTTCTTTCTTTAATTGCTGGATTTCTACAGCCGACCTACTTTCTCTGTTTTCAGTCTGAGTCCTGAAGCTATAAGAGGACCAGCTTGTAACATCAATCATTTGAAGACACTGAAAATAAACTGTTGAGCATCACTGAAAACACTGATCCAGACACCTCCTAGCTTCCATTGGTAGTAGGGATGTGAGAAAAAGGGGCAAGGCCTGACAGCAAGTGAAAGTAGAGAAAGCATTAGAAAGACATTAAAACTGTTTACTGGTTAAAAAAAAGGCAGTATGTGCCTAGCATCATACAGCAGTGAGTGATACTGCTTGGGACAGAGCATAGACAGATTAATTATACATGAAGTCCCAAGTGCAAATTAAAGTGTATTTCCCCTAGCAATAGTAGTGGTGGGAAGATGCAGGAGAAACATCATGTTCTCCATAGGGGAAACTATTAATTATTAGTTTGGGCAGGTACAAGTCCTGATCCTAGAGAACACTATGGTGGATTAAAAATTTTGGATGTGTAGAATGGATTTTCTTGCTTGTATATAGGAAGTATAATGCTCAATGGAAGTAATTTTAAGTGCCTATGCAAATATGTGCACCGTACTATATTGTCATATTTTCAGTTCATAGATGTTAAACACCAATGAAATTACTATGTTATAAACAGACATCTTGAATTTCCATGTATCAGACCTTAAAATCTTCTCACATTAATTTCTTCACCAACTTGAGCTACTGTATCTCTAAAGACATTAAGCCTGAAATGAATTACTTTAAATAAGGCAAAATTCATTGCATCTATAGGCTATTAACCACTGAAATTTTCCTAACTAATAAAAATACAGGTCACATTTCTAGCCTGAAGTAACCTAACTTCATCCATTACTTTTTATTATATCTTTTGCTAAAGTCATAAATCTCCTCCTTATCTGGGTATTTTACGAAGTGATACAGTTAGCAGATCAGGATCAAATCAGTAGGTAAAATTTACACCAACACGGAAGTTATGGGATTGACAATTACCCATAAACCTTCATGCCACAATGATTTTTTTTCCTTGCCACATTAAATTGCCACTTAAGCAATTTACTGTGCATATAAAATTTGTAATATTTTGCATTCAGTTTTTTTGCTAATCATTCTCATAAAAACCCAGCGGCTAATGTGTTTTTTAGTGAGATACTACTGAGGTTTCAGATAAGCCTTATAGCTGATATAAGCATCCCAAATTTTCAAATTTGCTTCAGCAAAGTTCCAGAAATTTGTTGGAGGTAAGGAAGTGGTATTTTCTATTTGAATTTATAACCTTTCACCAAAGTCTGTTTCCTTTTTTGTTGAAGTCTTTTACTTTCCACACACATAGAGCATCACATTTTCTTCAGAGGCTCACCAATTTGTAGTGGATTTATAAATTTGCTAATCAGCTTATAACCTAGATGCCAAAGAACAGTGATTGCAGAGCTCACACAAGGATCCCTTTTAATTACAACAATAGGATTTCAGCTCAGGTGCATCTGCTGATTAGATCTATGGCAGTATGTCCAAGGCAGACAGATGGACCCTGAAGGTGTAAGTCAAACACCTTCTTGCGGCTGGAGCTAGAAATATCTACCATCTCCAGTTGCTGACTACTGCCCCTAAGAGAAACATTTCTAGAGCTTTCATGTCATAGCAGAATACATAAGGTCTTTGTCCATTTCAGCACACTAAAGTGATCTAAACTAATCAGTTTGACTTTGCACTGGAATAGACTGAGAGTGCCCAGTTGGGCAGCTGAAGGTCTCAGCTGTGGTAACGGATATGGTGATAACAAACAGCTGAGGACAGTAACTTCTCAAATATACCCAACTCTGTCAGCAAAACTTCTGATATGTTTTCAGGCTGCTTAGTGCTCTATAGATTATAATCAATGTTTTAAAATCAATATGTAAGGCAGTAAGCAACCAATTTAGGCCAGAAATCATAAAATCAGCTCCATCTTTGATATACTAGAAAAGTTGTCTTAAACAGAATGCAATAGCTCTAATCTGAAAGAGAGAAGGTATTTTAACACTGCCAATTTACTTATTAACATAGGAATTCATTACGAAACTTTTACATTGTAACAGAAATTCCCAATTAGTATTTATAGAATAGTAGGTTAAAAGATATTTGATAGACTATACATGATATTCTATACTTGTATGAAATACACATGTGCATATATATGTGTATATATGTGCACGCACTTTTATGAGGAAGTATTGTTTTTCTTAAACTGTTCTAACTATAGCAGGATTTATTTGTATGGGATAAATTCAGTTTTGTAGTAACATTGCATAGATCCATGCAGTTGACAAATCCTTGGGCCCTCCAGGAAAATATGAAATAGGGTGAAAGGCCAAGGAGCCTAAATAAGTGTTACAATGTGTGCAATAATACATGAATTCATATAAGCAGATGAAGCCTTTTGCTTATATGTTAGTGATAAACGTAAAATATATAGGATGATAGTGTAGCATTTCTGCATGGATTTGTTGTCGATTATTCTGCATGCATTGTTTCTGTGTATGCATGCATTATTTCAGATTCTTTCATTTTGTCTTACCCTCATCCCTTCAAATCGCGACAAGGCTCTTAGAGGTCTCAAAGCTCTTAGTGTCCTAAGGGATTTAATCGCACCAAGTTCTGAGTAGCCCAAGGCATTAGCTGTTAAGCTAACCAAAGAGACCTACACAAAAACAGAAAGGCAATATGGCTCATTCATCTTGTATATCCTTTCGATACATATGGTGGGAATGATATGCGCCCTGAACTTCCCAAGATGATTCAAGGCTGGACCTCTTTCTCCAGGAATCCCTCTATAATGCAGAAAGATCTTTCAGGTCAGACAAAGTAGAATAAAATATGTTTTAGGTACCTGTTGATGAAATCATGTTGGTAGAATGGTATAAAAATGCCTTCTAAATTCACATAAACCAGTCAACATTTTGTGGTATTTAAAGAAAACTGAAGTCACATGCAAAAACAAAACCAAAAGTTGGGTGAACTGGAATGGTCAGTTTAGGTCAGGACTTCCCATGATATCTTCAGAACTTGATGAGAATGTAAAAGCTCTCAAAAACCACATCCAGACCTGGCCTTTGGTCAAATGTAACTTTCTAGTGTCCAGAAAATCTTATTCAACAGCCATAGCTACCAGTGCTATTCAGATTTAACCAGACCAATCAAGACTGATAACCAACTGTTTGTTAGACAATGGTAGAAGCTTCATTGTTAGGCAAATCCACACTTCATTACATTCCCTGTGACTCCTTTAACCACTTCATCAATTCTGGCTTGCATAACGCTGGTCTGGTCTGCAGGCAGAGGAGTAAATAAACTAGAATAGCTGTAAAATAAATAATACAATTATCTTTCATCAATAATCCTTAGAAATGTATTTATAGTAAACCATTGGGAAGGAGTGGCCTAGTAAAGAAAAAAAACCCCAAACCATCTTCTATTTCCCTTCATTTAATGCCATGCCCTTCCATCCTTCCTGTTCTCTCTTAATTCTTTCATTTCCAATATAACCTTTTCGCTTCGTTATCTCAAGCCCCTGACTAAAGATTAAAAAAAAATGCTTCAGAGAATAATTTTTTCCATGAAAAAAGTTGCACCACAGTAAGGTTGCCATGAAAACTAGTAAAGTTATTTATAAAGTTCACAGAAATAACTAAACCACACATTACTGAATAAGAATTCAATATTTGTTAATAAATACAATAAACATATAATGACAGCATAAAGTATTGCCCATGGTGTCTCTATAAAGCTCTATTGGTCATGGTAGTTTACACATCTGATGACTGAGCCAATAAATGTTTTGCAGGGGTACAGACTCAACCACAGAATATTAAGTGTGCATGTAGTCATGCTTTATCATAGGATCTGCAATAGTGGTATGGATTTAAAAGCCACAATGTTTTCCAAGCTCTGTATAGTGAAGACTTCATCGTCTATCATATCATTGTAATTTTAGGGAGATACATAGCGATTTCAATAGAATTCTGCTGCTTTTTGGAATGAGCAAACCAGTGATTCAAGACACATTCTTACTTTGCATTCCATGGGAATTACCTATGTGGAACTGAGATATGCCCTATTAGCACAGACAGATGTAGTCAGGCTATTGGGGATGGAAGGGAAATGAATGTCTGCTATACGGTTAAAGATCTGTAGATTTCCATTTATGCTACCCAGTACTGTGCATACGTTGTTGAGCATGTAGACTTGAAATTTCAATGCACTTCTCACTAGGTCTCCTTCAGACAACACGTATCGGCTCCTTGGTCGTGCAGACTTTTGAGAACCCATTCTAGGGGAGTTCACCTACAGTTCTCCCTTTAAGGTCACCCATGTGATGCAGTGAAAGGTGCAAGAGTACTGAATAGTACAATGGAACTGAGAGTTCCTAGCAGTATTTTTCTTTTATATTACACAGAGTAAATGACAGGACACTTACAGTAATCGATTAGAATGGTAGAAACCTTTAAAGTAATTGCTTTGAAATATTTAAGTTCCATATACAGCAAAAACTGAAGAGGATGAACAGCATCCTTTCCACACAGTGAAAAAAAAAAATAGTTAAAGGCATCATTTCAATAAAGCATTACAACTTCATAAAACTAGAGGATATCAACAAAACATCTCTAGAGTAGTATCTAAATATTTTTCCTTTTCTGAGCAGAATTATAAACCATACCACAGCAACAGTTTAAAAATAGAGTTTCCATTGAATAGAACAGAAAGCTTATCGTGAAAACATAATATTCTGATTTTTAGAGCCTGTTGTAAGGGACATGAAAAAGAATACATACATCAACAATCAGGAAGTCCAGCCAGCACCACGCATTAGTGAAATAGGTTTGAAAGCCATAAGCCACCCATTTTAAAAGCATTTCCAGAATGAAGATATAAGTAAAAACTTTGTCAGCATATTCCAGCATGGTCTTGATAGTTTTACGTTGCTCTATGTATATATCTTCAAATGCCTGTAAAAAAGATTTTTGAAGATATAATTAAATGTCTTCACAATTTGCAGTGTGGTATATAGTAGGCAAGAAAGAATTTGAACTGGAAAGATATATGTGAGGATAAGGTACATATCCTTCCTTCAAGCACAACATTTGCTTTCACTCCATACTGTAGTCTTTTCATAAAGCTGGCTCCAAACACAACATTCAGCTTTCAGCCGAGCTGAACAGTGATCTATAAAACTTACTGTAATACCATTCTCCAAATCTCATTTTAATTTGTTTCCATGGATAGCAATGGCTTATTGACATAAGGATTTCCTTTGTGGTAGCTACAATTTTATATCAAAATTATATGAGGGATTTAAAAATGATTCTGCAATACAGAATTTTTGAGGAACTAATAATTGAACCAAACTATACACACTAACCCACAAAGCAATCCTGAACAGAGATTAATAACCTGCTTTTCAAAAGAAAATGTCTCTGTTGACAGTGAATCACTGTGCATTGACTCAAGTGTAGCAAGTACACTATATTTTGCTCCTGCTATGAGGAACTATTTACTTCAGTACTTACTCAGCGCATCTGATTTAACATCAATCTGGTAAAATACCTGACGGAATCACGTTGTCCCCTTACATCTCAGTTTGAAAATTCAAGTTGCTGTTGATAAGTTCCTAGCTCAGCTGTGGTTTATTTTAAATGTGTATAAGACAAAAAAAAGCTATTATCATCAATATGAAGACATGTGAATACCTGTCTGATACAACTAATTTATTATTTCCATTAACACTACATTTTGAACTTGCCAAACAATTTGTTTCATAGCCTGTGAGCAAAATCTTACATATTCTACAATACATGCCAAATACTTGTTGATGTATGTTGGCATTAGAACATTTATGAATTGGATATTAAATCTGGATGTTACCTGCAGTTATATAATTAACTGTAATTCTAAATGCTTGCTGCTTAAAATAGACACAATAGTTCCACATTGAATTTACCAGAGCACCACTGCTGAGAAGAATCATGAAGACAATGAAGGTCTCAAACCAGTTGTGTTCAACAATCTTATAGCAGGTTTTCCTAAGATTCCACCAGATTTTCCCTTTCCCATCTTCTACACTGACTTGACAGCATTTGAATCTCCGCACACAGCCTAAGTGCAATAATAAATTTTGAGATGTCAGAATAAGGTAAATATTTATTAGGAATCACAATGAACAGAAGTCATTTGGCTTATTTCAGTGCTACTGCAATAGATTCTTTAAATAAGTATCTCCTATTTGAGCATTTGTGTTTCAATAATTGAAGTTAAAGCTTTGTAACTCTTATAATACCTTCCAAGGAGAGAGAGTGAGCAGGAGAACAGTACCTCTACGACAGCACCTCTGAAGGAGCTACTAATAGAAACAGAAAATACAACTATAATCACAAAGCTGCTTCCTGATTTTGAATAAAAATGGAATCCAGCCCAAATCAACACAGTTACGTCTAATCACTTTGGATATATTTTGCTTCACCTACCTTCTGTAAAACAAGCCTCTGGCTCCAGAGCTTCTTCAGGTTCTGCTTCTGGCTGTTCACCTTCTGGAGGTAGTCCGATATCAACTGTGCTGCCTTCTGATGAACTAGATGCATTTAATTTCTGTGAATGAAAACCCACATAGTTATTTCTTTCAATTTTATTTATTTTGAATAGAAGTTCGTGTTTGAAATGCATCCCAAAATATTTTGCATGTATTCCGTGCTCTGACATTGAAATAATTTCTTATCTACAATCTATAATGCCAAATTGCTCTACTACAGGTGAGGTCACAAGATTAGAAACTACTTCATGTGTATTTTCCCTATTGAAAATATATTGATATTTTCATACAAGGAATTGCTCAAATTATTAGACTACTATTCTGAGCCACACATAAGAATTCTGAAATGAAATTTCAGTAAGTTAGGAATGGGTGCCTTCCACACTTTGTACTGTTTCATTATTCCAATTGTGTGGCTGCATTTTAGATTACACTTCAGATACCATGTATTAACATAAATAATTTTCCAACGTCATGACCAAACCAACAGCAAGCTGCACAGATGTATTTTCATGTCTCAAGTAGATGTTATTCTATCAAGTCTGCAAAATCTAAAAAGTTTGAATAGAAACTTTTCATTATCATTGACATGAAAACACATGTTATGAGTTGTATAGGATAATTTAATTCTCTTTATTTCCAAAAGAGCAGCATATTACTGTAAGAGCAGTAGCTGATATTTTGCATTCTCACTTGCCAATGCATTTTCTGAATTTACTGTGCATTTTGAAACTACTTGTTACTTTGGTACAGTACACATACATGTCCAATCACTATAAAAGCCCCCCCAAAATCTTTGTTTTGGAAGACTAAAGTGAAAACAAATGCTTTTAAAACAATATTGTCATAAAACAATATAGCACCAATGAATCATACTGATAATATAATCCAAATCTTCAAAATTATTTTTTCATGTCATCACATTATGTTGGCAACAGACAAATATGAGTACTATAATAAGTAAAAGTAGTTTAATCACGGCATTCTATGACTCTTCTAATGTTATCACTATGTGGAGTATAACATCAGTAAAATGGCTGCATTGATAAGTAGCTAATTTTATAAAGGGAATGATGTAAGCAGATTTAGATTACAGTCTATAGGGAACTAATATTAGACAGAGAGATGGTCCATGGTAACATTAAAGATATATCTTTGCTGACACTTAAAACTTAAGTTAGAGGCATTATTCCTTTAAAACACATGCAGTTTTTTGTAAAGGAAATGTAAACAATATTAGTATGTGAATAAAGAAAGTACCACAAGACTTTAATGGAATTTTATATTGCAGACAATATTAAGTATGTTCTTCCAACAAAAAGAAGATGAATTCCTTTCTCTCCCACTCTCATTTTATCGAATCACACTGACAATATACTGTGTGGCGATTTTGACATAGGCTTAACTTTGATTTTTGCGTACCATGCCCATATTTTAGAGGAAGACCAAACAAATGGAAACATTTATTGTAGGATGTATTATGCATATAATTTCAGTGATATCTGAAATTTCCTTTATGTTTCCTTGAAAATCCCAGCTTACATATTCATGTCTCATGTTTGTGCATGAGCTTTAGCACCTATGAGGTTAGGTCCAATGTACAAAGACACGGATGCACAATTTTTTGCAGATTATTATTTACAAATATCCCATTGCAACATATTCAAATAATAGATAATGCATGGCAGTTTGGTCATTGTGGAATACTGCCTCTAAAATGGAGAAACTAGAAAGTATGGGATAAATACTGTAGTTGTCAAGTAAGGACCACAGCATTTAAACATCAGTAGAAGTCAATCATCAGTTTGAGGAAAGGCCAGAAAAACCATAAACGCAAGGTACATTCCAAAGAAATGTATATATGGTGTTAAAAAATTAACATTTATCAATACAATACAGTAAATAATTTTTACACTGAGAAGTGACTATCTCTTTGTATCATGTAGAGTTTTCTTAAAATGTTGCTTGCATCATTCCAGCCTGGACAGCATTTCTAGCAGAATGCTGTAGTAGTAGCAGAGCAAACAAAAGTTATGAACTGGTAAAATCGTGAGTTTGAAAGACCTACTGCCCATTCTTTTACAGGAAAATGAAGAGTTCAGTAACTCAGATATTATGCAGTTAGTTTAATCAGCACATGTTAATTTTTAAAAGGGGTAATGAATTCCTATTACTGAAATTGCATAAGACTGCCAGTTAACTCAAGGTGCAAGATCAGAGATATCCACTATAAGGGGAGATCACAAAGATCAGGTAGAAAAGCTAGAAAATTATCAGTAGAAGAGTCAATTATCAGGAACATCAGAAAGCCATCTTTATTTATGTGGGGCAGTATGTATGGCGAGTTGTATCTTACAAGGCTGTCATTGAAAATCTGGTATGCTTCTTTTAAAGAGCTGTAATAATAATCACAGGAGTTAAGCTAAACAGAAAAATCTTCAATTGAATCAACAGCAGCTGATACTTGAAAGACAACAATTAAATGCCTTATCCCACTGAGGATTCAGTTACTCCTTTGTTGTTGATGTAACAGAGTATTTCCTTAGCATGCTGTTCTATTGTACCTGAATTTAGCCCCAACCTGATCAGTACATGAAGAAGCATATTATAAAAATTATTCAATAAATTCAATCTGTATTCAATTCAGTATCATTTGGGGAAGAAAAAAAAATCAAAAATTTTCAACAGAAATAATTCTTTTTTTGTTTGTTTCTTTGTTATTTTTAACATTGAATTTATTGTATGGCATTCTGCACAATATTTATAAAATTTAATATACATTACAAACAGCTAGGAAGATTTTAGCAAATCAATTAAGTTCAGTATGCTAGGAAAACTTTTCAGTAACAATCACATATTTCCACAACAAACTTCTGCTCTGGTATAAAGCAACTCACCCAGGGATGTTGTACTGATTTGTACGTATCCAGCACAACATCACCTGGGAATGGACCATGTTAATGCTGAATATGTTTTGTCCCTATGGTTTAATACATAAGAAGACTTTTTCTACCACTTACTGTGACTTGCCAGTGTTCACACATATGGAATCCAGCTGGATAGCTAGACTACCCCTAATTGCAGACCCTGATATGTTACGTATGTAACATCTGTCTCAGTTCTTTACCTTAACATATCTCAAAGTTATCGTTGTACCTGACAAATTCTTCTCTGCTCACCAGCATTACAAAAACTGAGTTTAGGCAATGCTATATATTTAACATGTATACAGATTTTTTTAAAAATGAACCTGTAGAAACAAGGTAATCAAACCCAAACGTTATCTTTGAAATAATACTAAGTCCTTTTTAAGCCTTTTTTATACCATGGTTCTAGGTTTCAAAAGTATTCAGTCACCCAGATTATAAGAGATTTATCAGGGTCAAGTATTAGACACTCTTCAAGAGTTATGATGCTACATTTTTTCTGAATAGTATGCTAAGGAAATTATTCTCAGAGAAATATAGTTTTCAAAACCTCAGAACATACATAGTCCATCTCCTTTCACAGAAGACAGTGAAGGGACAAAAGTACTTACATGATTCTAAAGCAGTAGTATACTGATTATTGTAGAGATACGTATCTTTTACATCACAGCTACCAACAGCCTTGCCAGTCATGCTTTAGTCAGCAATACAGTACAATATGAGATACAGATTCTAGTTTAGCTTTCGAGGTAGAAACTGAAAGTGGAAAGCGGCTTGCTTATCAGAGCAGCATTGCAAAAAGCAGCAGCCAAGATTAGGTCAGGAAGTTTTTGTCATAATTACTTTCTGAACCTTGACAACATCTCATAGATTCATACAATTCTGCTTCACTTACAGCCAGGCTACTTTGAGCTTCTAACATTTCTTTCTTTGTTTTAAAGATGATTATCTGAGAGTAGCTGAACAGCTCTTAGTTTAACACTTTTAACAAAGCCTGAAATTTCATGATTGGCCAGGATGCCACTAATAGCTGTTGAAATCATAATTTAAGGGACTGAAGGAGCAAAGAGCAGAACAGACATAAGCAGGAAGATGGTGCCAAGAGAAATTGCCATTTTGGTTTTGCTTTTAGTTTCCTTTCCTCCCAAATACCTGTGAAAATGTTAAAGAATGGAAATTATATTGGTTTTGTTTTCTCAGTGCTGCATAGATGTCAGTACGAAAATGAGATGTTCTGTAATATAAATGGCAATATTATATCCAAACTTATCCAGTCTTTTTCAGTACAGCTATATCATCTATAAAATCGACCAAGTGGTAAATATCATTGTAGTTCCACTGGTATAATTCAGTGGAATCTGAATGTCACTCTTTCTAGTGCTTATACAGTCAGGCATAAGTCATCTATCAGTTCAAAAAACCAGAACATTGTAAATTAAAGCATAACAATTCTGTGATGATTATCATTTGAAAATACTGCAAATAAACAGGATCCCTAAATTATAGTCCACTCTGTACTTTATTGCTATTCATAATTCCTTTGATCTACTTATTTATGAGCATTTCACGAATGAAAGTATTTGCAAGAATGTTGGATGAAAGCAAAAGCATCATAAGTAGTAGTGGAAATATTTGCAAAAGCACTCTCACTGGAAGCTACTTAAAAAGGCTCTTTAATTCACACAAGCAATAGTGAAAGGATATTTCTGAAACAGAGCAAGGGACTGCTGTTTGTAAAGATTAATTAAGCAAACTTCAATTAAATCTAATATTAACAACTTAGTATCATCCACTATGAATCACAATATGCCAATATGATGTGACCAATTCACAAACAATCCAAAGCCTAAATTTTCAGAGTATCAAAGGATTTTGAATAATGAATATTTTTGAATCAAAATATGACTTATCAAATAAATTATTCCTTACAAAATATAAGACAAAAAGCTATGCAATAAGAATATTTTAACTCCACTGATTCATCAAACTGAAAGCAGCATCATACAACTATGGTGGTGTAAATATTATGGCAATGTTTAATAGGTGAGATGTAAATCATACTGAAGCTGGGGACCTTTTGGTCCAAAATCAGTAGCTTATTTACTAGATTGCTGAACTTTATTTATTACTGA